TTGCGAAAAAAAGACCGAGCTTTCGTTCTCCATGCCCCTGGCCCTCAAGTCTTTAGTATCCCTCGCGCCCCCTGCCAAGCCCCCAGTCTAAGTATGAAAGAGAAGAAGGTGCCGCTTTCAAAAGACATGATTTCTGAGACTTCCTTAGGGAGTAGGCCCGGGGGATGAAGACATGGACATGGAGTCTGTTGGGCTGAGAGGCCCAAGCTTCGAGTTGAGGGGTCAAAGCCCAACGGCCTCAAAAAGCACTCGACGCACATGTCGCCTCCCGATCCACCTTGCGATTCGAGCACCTTATGTAAAGAGAAACATCTTCTAGAGAGGACCTCTAAATGGTATGCCTGGAAGAGGCCGGCACTTTGCGGTGTGGTCTGACCCCTTCGCCAAGCCTTCGTACCTCTTCGCGGTAGTGGCCGGCGACCTCGCCGGGAGCCCAGAAGATATGTACACACAGACGTACAGTACAGTCTCGCATGTATGTACGTAAATGTTTTGTATACACGTTACTACATGCGTACGTCCGCACAGACATACATGCATACATAAATCTGTGTATGTACAACTGTAAAGTGCAAAGCAATCTGCTCTTCTTGTTTGCATCCCGCTCTCTCTCTCTCTCTCTCTCTCTCTCTCTCTCTACGTTATATCTATATCTATATATATATATATATAAAATCTTTAGATGTGTGTATAAATACATACACATAAACAAAGAACGTGCTGCCATACTCATCGAAAAAGCAGACAACAGATGGAAGCACATGAACGAGCACACCCGGGAACAGACAGACATGCGCATGTTCTCGGTTTTCGTAAGACAAGCTGATGCTTCTACATATCCAGAGTGCTTATGTATATGGAAGTCAGACAACAGCCGCCTCCTCACATAGAGCTCTAATAGTGGGATGCTCTCGAACACGGACCCCTCAGCGAGGCATCCCTCATTTTTGAAGAAGCCCCCCACACATGCATGGACGGGGATGCTCGAAACACTAATTGAGCTAATTGACCGGTTCCCTTTTCGGGGCTTCTGCGTATCTTACTCGCTCCTGAGTCTTGATGTGGGCGGCTGCTTGAAATCTTGGTTATGGCATGTAACTCTCTTGGCTGTATTAGCAACTTTGATTGGCAATTTCAGCATTCTTGATCAGTTGTCTGCTTCCTTGATGCTGCTGTGTTAGTCCTTGCTCATTCTTTTTACGGTGGAGCTTTTGTTTTGTTTTGTTTCGATTGAAAATCCAACCGTCTCTTCGAACCGCCTTTGCGTTCTAACAATTGTTCTCGCTTCTGTGGTTGAAGATCTGTGAAATTCAATGACTTTCATGCACACCGCTGACGTCTTCGCCGAGGCCTCCATCACAGACAAGTGCCTTGCCTGCGCAGTATCTTTCTCAAGCCCTCGTCCGCTCAACAGACGAAGCTCTTGGGCATGAGGTAGCGCTTTTGTGAACAGAGCGCATTCACAACTGTCGTCATCCTTTTGTGCCATAAGTAAGCGAAGTATGTCGAGATAAATTCCCGTGGAGGATCCCATCACTACTCATAACGCCTCGTGGTTCTTGTTGTTCTTGTTACAGTTCATGTTCTTGATCTAGCAGCTGCTGCTGCTGCTGCTCGTATTGCTGTTGCTACTGCTGCTACTATTCGTGTCATGCAGACATGTTTGTCTACTGCTAGTGCTACGTGTCACGTGTTACGAATACTGTGAACAGCATGTCCGGGTTGTTCCTGCAGCATGCAAAATAACCCAAGTCCTAAGCCCCAACCCTTAGCCCTACATCCGAAGGTTCTAAGCCAAAAAACCGCCCAAAATCCGCACCCTGAGACTTGGGCGCCCTGACCTCTAGGCCCAAGCCCTAAATCCCAAAATTGCAAATCCTACGCCTCAGACTCAGAAGCTCCGTCCGAAACCTCCCAAAACGACAATTTTTCAAGCCCAAAGCCCCAGGTTCACCACCAAGTCAGGCAGGGATGTTCATCTCGAGATCTTTGCCGCGAAAGAGGACAAGGATCAGCTTTGGCATGCCATGAGGCTCCACCCTGGAGAAAGGCTTCGGGGTTTAGGGCCGTTTAGGGTCTCGGGTCGAATGATTTACAAGAAGGGCTTGGATAAGCCTGAGGATAGGGCGCCTTAAACTAGAAGATGGTTTTGGGGTACATCGTATTACTGCTATGTTAGGGCGTAGGATTGCCAGGCCCTTCGGGTTGGGGACTTAGGGCATAGCCACCCTAAACCCTACAAGCCGCTCGTCGGTGCTTCTTGCAGCTTTTAGCCCTCGACTTGCTAAGTGCAATCTGTTCCTTGCTGTTGCTGTCACCGCTGTTTAGATGCTCATTGTTGCATGCAACGATAATATACGATGTAACACAGAGAGAGAGAGAGGGAGAGAGAGAGAGAGAGAGAGAGAGAGCGAGAGAGAGGAAAAGCAAGCAAGCAAGAGAGAAAAAGAGGGAGGGAGAGAGAGACAGACAGAGAGAGCGAGAGAGATCGTCTAAGCCCACCGCACATGTCGGGGGCGCCGGATGGCGCGCGGGCAAGGGGGGCTCCCCCTTGCCCATAGCCCTGCCGAAAGAAAGAAAGATCGTCTACCTTCGTTCTTCACTCCCCACGCCTGATCAACAAGATCGGGTGGGCAAATTTGCCCGGGGACGTTGACCCGTCCCTATGCCCGGGAGAGAGAGAGAGGGAGAGAGAGAGAGAGAGAGAGAGGGAGAGCGAACAAAAAAAGGCAGAGGCAGAGAGAGACAGAGGAGGAGGCATAGAATATGCGTACGTGCATAAAGCTGCTGTACATCTATCGATCTGTCTGTCCACCTATCTATCTAGCTATATATTCATGTATTCTTGTCTGTTGTTCTGTTTACATATGTAAGGGTTTGTACACGTGACAGTCGGGGGGGGAGAGCACGACAGGTCCCTTCAGCGGTCGATGAAGTGGGACGAGGCGCGGAAATCGCCCAGAGCGGTCGGTTTCAAGGTTCCCGGATTCTTTGGGGCATAGGACACAGGGTTTGGTCGTATTTGGTTGCTTTGGAGTCAGCTCATGAGGTTTTGCGTCTGGGGTTTCGAGGGTGGGGGCTCAGGGCGGGTATTTGGGATACGGGGATGCTACGGGGGTTGAGGTGAAGGGTTTAGCGCCCAAGCCAGAGCTCAACAGCTGAACCTAAACCCTAAAGCCCCTTGAGGCAACACCCGAAGCACTGTTTAATTCAACAAGGTTCTGCGGCAGAGGGTGGGAAGGTGCTCAAATGTGAGACATGTGTTTCTACTGTGGTTTTCTGTATAAGTATTGGCACAATTATTGTTCTTATTATTGTTGCTATTATTCCTACTCGTATCACTTTTATTCAGTTGTAGGTTGACTCCAGCCTTGCTTTGCAACTTCTTGGCCGTTCATCGCCGGATCAGTGAAAACCCAAAACCCTATTACTTGTAGCAGTAACAACAATGGTAAAAGTAATCTTTATGATAATACCGACAACAGTACTAGTAGTAACAAGACTTGGAAGAATAGTAACTATAATAAGAATAAGAATGGTAATAATGCTTGTACTAGTAGAATAATAGCAATACTAGCAATCACAATCAGAAGACTAATAATAAGAAGATGCAGGCTGAAGTTCATAGAGCCGCAAGATGCCGGGCGCAGGATCGCTTCGGCCTTGAGTACGACCTGGACATCTACAACATCGTGGCCGTCAAGGATGCACTTCCTAAGGTTCCCTCCCGAAACCCCCCTAGGCCCTAGGCCCTAAACCCTAAGCCCTAATTGAAAAGCTGCTGGAGGCCAAGCCCAGATTTCTCAAGCAGGCACACTAGAGGAGGACACCAACCCCACCCCTCCCCACCTTCCAAAAAAGCACAGGACTTCAACATGGGCGCCATGGAGAACAAGAGCTCGGGCCTCGATCTCCTGCGGGGCCGATACGGGGATTAGAAGGGGGAAAGCTCCTTGGGTTTGGGGGCTCTGGGGTTTGTGCGGATTAAGGTGCATTCAGGGCCTAAGCCCTAAACATGTAGTAGTGGCTCATCACTATCTCGAACATTTTATTGGGAAAAGCCGTGAGAAAAGGAGTGAACAACGACATCCTGAATACCCTAAACCCAAGAGGCCTGAACGTCTTCAACACCTCGCTGACCTTGGCACGGGAAGACACGGCCACGGACGACGACTACGAGCGGATCGAAGGTGTCATCGGCCACGAGTACTTCCACAACTGGACCGCCGCAGTGGGGGTTCTAGTTTTGGGTCTTGATTCTTAGAAGTATATAGTATCCCCGCATCGTCCCTTTTGGATGATAACTTACCCCCCAAGTCCTATTCTGATTATCGCGGACCCGGTAGCCCGGATATGAGACGATCTTCCCGACATCGTAAAGATGCCCCAAAGCGGAAGCAGGAACTCACGAACGCTCATGGAGACAAGGTTCGGCTCTTTAGATAGTATAGGGGCCTAAATCAGAACCAACAATATGTTTTTGGGGGTTCCTTATTTTATTTATCGCATAATATACACCAAAACGCTATTCTGATTATCAAGGCTCCTGCAGTGCTTGTTTGGGCAACAATCTCCTGTAAAGTCAGGACGGGAAACCGGGTCACCTGCCGCGACTGGTTTCAGCTCACCCTGAAGGCGGGAGCATGCTGATCATACCGCTCGCTTCGTATAGAACGCTCCAAGACTTTCGTAAGTATATAATAGTATAGTATATTATAGATAGTATAGTATATTAAAGTATATTATAGCATATTATAGTAAATTATAGTATATTGTAGTATATTGTAGTATATTATACTTCAGAAACTCCCTGAGTCTGTCTCTCTCTCCCTCTCTCTCGGAGTCTCTCTGGTCGAAGTGTTTTGTTCCGGTCTGGCTTTGTGTGTTCTTTTGGGGGTGTGTAGAGCTTGAGCTTCTCGCATCGGAGCGGTTCATCGCCGTTGCAGCCATACTTCGCCGAAGACGATGAGAATGATGGATTCGTTCCAGAAGCTGCGCAAATTTCAAAAGGGGAAGCCCAAACCCAAACAAACCGCCGAGAAATGAGAGATCGCGGCCGAGGGCAAGCTCATGAATTCCACTGCTACATCAAACTTCGGGCCGCACCCCAAAGCACAAGAATTGCCCAGAAGTGAAACCGAAGGCTCTGAACAGACGCAATCTGCAATCCCAATGCGCCCGACACGAAACCCTAATATGGGATCTAAGCCTCGCCACCTGGATCTTGAACAAGACGCCTCGTTCTCTTTGCAGGAGGGTTTGACGGTGTACCGCGACCAGGCGTGCTGCAAGAGTGGGTCTGTGAGAACCGCTTATGAAGTCCTGTTTCGGGCTGAAGGCAGAGGCGAGTATGCGCGGGCTTGTGGCTCGGGATCAAAGGCTCAGAGTCTCTTGGGTTTGGTTGCTTGTGCTCGGGGCTGTGCCTGAAAGGCTTGAGAAGCCTTCAGCCTCTGCCCGCGATATAATGTCATACCATATCGCAACATGTCATTTCATATTATATCAGAGCATAGCATAGCACAGTGTAGCATAGCATAGCATCTCATCTCATCTCATCTCATCTCATCTCATCTCATCTCATCTCGTATCATATCATATCTTATATCATATCATATCGTATCATATCATATCGTACCATTCGCGTCGCTTTAGTGAACTTGTTGTCAGAAGGGTTCTTGCTGAGAAGTGGCAAGTGAAGCGCTTCTCTGTCTGGGCACCGCAGGCTACGTCTGTGTGTCCAGTCGCAGCTGTTCCTCTCATCCTCATCTCATCCTCTGAAGCTATCGCTGGACCTCATGGCCCTCACCTCAAGTCTCGTCTTTGAGAAGATCGCCGGCCGCTTCAAACTCGAGGCAGAGGACGAGTTCAGAAGCTGCTTCGGGGAGGTGGCGGTGGTCGCTGCACGCGAAGCAGCGAAGCGGCATCGAGACAGCAGACTTCGCCGCTTGGAGAGATCGCAGTTGGCGGACTTAGTCGACGTCTTGGTCTTCCTAAAGAAGCACGGCTTCAATTGCTGCCGCGAGGATCTGCGCCTGAACATGCCGAAGAAGCATGCATTTGGGTTTCGACGCACGTACCCGCTGCACCAGGCAGTTCAGAACCAGGACTGGCCCATGGTCAAACTCCTGCTCCAGTTTGGGGCCGACCCGACTTGCAAGGACAGAAAAGGTCGAGACTTGGGAACCTGTGTGGCCGAGATGAGGGCGCCCGATTGGATTCGAGCAGTAGTGTTCAAATGCCAATGAAAAGCTTCGGAATTCTTCGGATCTGCTGTGCCTGGGAGCACAACACCAGGTCCTTTTTTCATCGTGCCATGGAGGAATTGGAACACAACTTCTTGAGCGATGCAGTTAAGAGCCTTTCATGACGTGAATTTCTCAAGCAGCTCGACGCGGATGCGTGTCTGGCTGTTTTCGTGCCTCAGAGCTCGACGTTCACGGTGGAAGCCAGAATATGGCCTTTACCTTACATCTCGGTTTTGCCTTTCGCATTCATGGAACTGTTTCAGAGGAATACAGAAGCCTAATTACGCCATGAGAAACAACATGTTCTTACTGGTGCTCTTGCATGATGCAGCAACGGCATTGACACTTCATTGTGCAGCGTGCCAATTGGAATTCAATCAGACAGGTGCTGCAGTAGGATGCCTCTGCTCTTTAGACCTGCGACCGCCTGCGGCAAGGAGGTCGAGTCTACGACATGTTTCAGTCTTGCAATGCCTGAATCCAGTATACATGAGCCCAAAGGAGTTTACAGTATCTAGGAACGCGGGTCATCGGGGAATGCCATCGCGACTCATTTGGGCCCCTGTATTGCGTGACTTCGTTTTTACCAGCAGCCCTTGCTCGAGGATAAAAAAGAGCAGATTTGTTATCCTCCGTTGTGAAAGCTCGGATCCATTGGCTGAGCGGTAGATCCTTCCTTGCTTCAGCTGGCTGAATATGTTTGTTGAGAATGGAGCTCTGCAGGCTTTTGTTTCAATAGGTGCTTGAATCGGCTTCAAGGGATGAAATCCTAAAAACCCTAAATAGGGTCTGCTTTAAAAGGTTTTGAGAGACTCAGAGAGCTCTAGGGGCCCCCATTCGAACGCCCCAAACCCTTAAGCCTTGAACCCAGACCCTAAGCACCCCAAGCCCTCAACATTTAACATCTTTAAACCTGTGAGTTTTGTTTGCTGTCTCTCCCGGTCTCAAGGAGTTCTCCGCGGACATGGGCTCCCGGGCTCGCAAGCGCATCGAGGACGTGAGGATCCTGCGGGCGGCACAGTTCCCCGAGGTCCTGACAGGGTTTAGGGGTTAGGGTTGTTTAGAGTTGGGGTGCAAGGCTAGAGTACAGTAGCCCTTGGGGCGTTCGCTGTGGGGTTGTAGGCTTCATGGTTCTGCTATTGTGGATGCCAGCTACGACATTCCTTTCGCGGAAGGCCAGCCAAACGACAGTCGGGCTTAAGTTTGAGTCAGGTTCAGGAAACTTGTCGTTGGGGAGGAAACATGGAATGTACTGATGTGGGTTGAAGAGCCTGTTGGAACAGCACATCTAAGGCAAGCTCCGGGCTCCATGTTCTGTGCAGCCCCCATAAACCCCCAAACTCCTAAGCAGAAGCTCCGAGCGCCACAGCCCCCAAAGCCTGGTCAGCCTCAGCACCTGGAGGATTCCTCGCCGATGGCGCACCCCATCCGCCCCGAGAAGTATGCGGCCATCGACAACTTCTACACGGCCACGGTCTACAACAAGGGAGCCGAGGCCGGGAGTGCCAGAAAGCATTGAGCCCTTCTCACCCTGCAGAGGCTCTTGGGAGACGCAGGTGATGATGGTTTCGGCGATTTGGGTCACGACGATGCTGATGATTCTGATGATGCGATGACCATGGTCATGATGGTGGTGATGATGGTGATGGTGGTGGCGGTGGTTATTTGGAGAGAAGGGACGTTATCAATGCAAGTGACGATTGAAATTCAGTGTGCGCGGTAATGGAGCTGACCACACCATCTACTACTTTTCTGGCCATTCTGATGTCGTTTCGGAGTGTCGCGGCTATTAAACCAATACAGTCTGATTGTGATGGCTTTTGTATATTCTTGAGCAGTTGAACAGCTCGAGGACGAGGCTCGGAAGAGCATACCTGAGATAGATCGTAAAGCAGAAATCCCTAAAGGGGACCAGCGCATGCCTTGCAGAGGTCATCCGCATGTACGAGACGCTCTTGGGCCGGGATGGCTTCCGAAAGGGGATGGACTTGTGCCTGGGATGTTTATGCTGGATCTTTCAAGGTTATACCCGGTTCAACCCTGAATGCTAAACCTCAAGACGCTTCAAGCATTGCCGGATGCTGGGTGTCAGTCGAGTCGGGTCAAGTAAACGCCGAAACATGAAGGCACAAGGCGTTTGACCTTTGTGGAATCTTATTTACGGAAGATGTAATCATAGAGGGAATGGACATAGAAGTAAACTTTATGGGCATGGCTATAGATATGCATATCAAGTGCACTACATAAATACATCTTTCATACATCCATATTCCATGATTGTACATGTGCTTGCATACGTTTATGCTTGTGTGTCTGTGTCGGTATGTGTATTCGTGCCCCCGTGTGTGTGTGTGTGTACGTGTGCATGCATGTATGTACGTATGTATGTGTGCATGCTCGTAGGTAATTATGTATGCATGTGTGCATGTATGCATGTATGCATCCTGCATGCGTGCATGCATACATGTATGTATGTATGTATGCATGCATGCATGCATGTACGCATGTATGTATGTATGTATGTATGTATGTATGTATGCATGTATGTATGTATGTATGTATGTCATACGTATGTATGTATGTATCTATGTATGTATGTATGTGTGTATGTATGTACGTACGTGTATACGTATGTATGTATGTATGTATGTATGTATGTATGTGTGTACGGATGGATGGATGGATGGATGGATGGATGGGTGGAGATGCATGCTTGCTTGCTTGCTTGCTTGCTTGCTTGCTTGCTTGCTGGTTTGTTTCCAAGCCTTCGAAGCCGAGCGTGTGGAAAAGGTATTTCGAGCGCCACGACGGAAATGCCGTGACTTGTGACGACTTCCGCGGGGCGATGCAGGCCGCCGTGGCCGTTGAATACGGTTTGGATTTTGCGTATCGGTGCTAGCCTCCCAGCGCAGGGTCGGCTGCTTCGGAAAGTCTTTGTGTGAGCATGAAGAGCCCCTTCTGCAAACCTAATGCCCCTCCCAAAAACTCGACGGTGCCGACGAGAACCCAACCCTGGACACCAAACCCAAGGATACCCCAAGTAGCCCTTTCCTCAATGACCGTAGCGCCATACATAATCTATAGTGTACTAGTGAGTGATTTGAAAAAAAGATACAAGAATGACAGCACATCTTAATTCTTAATCATATGAGTTAGAGGCTTTACTTTATGGAGGTGTTGAGGCCACGCGGGCTGGCTGCCCGCAGCGAGTTGGAGGCCTTATGGAGGTGTTGAGGCCGCGCGGGCTGGCCGCCCGCAGCGAGTTGGAGGCTTTATGGAGGTGTTGCCAGCCCGCAGCGAGTTGGAGGCTATATGGAGGTGTTGAGGCTGCGCGGGCTGGCTGCCCACAGCGAGTTGGAGGCTTTATGGAGGTGTTGAGGCCGCCCGCAGCGAGTTGGAGGCTTTATGGAGGTGTCTTGGAGGCCGCGCGGGCTGGCCGCCCGCAGCGAGTTGGAGGCTTTATGGAGGTGTTGAGGCCGCGCGGGCTGGCCGCCCGCAGCGAGTTGGAGGCTTTATTGAGGTGTTGAGGCCGCGCGGGCTGGCCGCCCGCAGCGAGTTGGAGGCTTTATGGAGGTGTTGAGGCCGCGCGGCTGGCTGCCTGCAGCGAGTTGGAGGCTTTATGGAGGTGTTGAGGCCGTGATTATTATGATGATTATGAGTCATAATACTCATAACCATCACATTGGATAAGAACTATCATAATCATTAAAATTATAACAGTCAGAACCAACATAGAGATCATCATAGCAATAATCGTCGTTAAAGCAACGAAACATAATCAGAATAATGGTAACTGTCATAGCAATCATGACAACCATAATAATTCTAATAATCGTAGTAATCACAATCGTAATCATCATCAGAACAGTAATAGTAGTAGTAATAACAGTCATACCGAACGGTAATCGTAATAACAAAACAATCATAATCACAACAAGAAGAACAACAACAATAGGTCTTACACTTAGAACAGGAATAAGAGTCAGATTAAACATAAGAGTACTCGTACTGGTAACAAGGTTTAGTGGAAAGACTAAGGGCAAGAAGGATAGCAAGGACAAGAAGGATCGTGAGGATGATGAGCATGACAAGGATCAACCGGATAAGCAGGATACGGAGAAAGGGAGTACCATCACATGCCCCCCTCCCCACCCTGCCGACTTGAGGATGCCAATGGCCGGGACCTGAAACAGTTCGAGAACTGGTACCTGCAGGCAGGCACCCCAACGCTGACGGCCAAGGACGGGCTTTGGTAGCTTCGAGGGTTGAGCATTTGGGGTTGTGAAAGATGGCACGAGCCGGAGGGGAGAGGTGTTCCTCTGCTTGCTTCATGCTGGTTCTAGATGGCTTTAGCGTTTGAGAGTTATTTTTTTTGCAAAGCTTCTTCAATGTAGGGTGCCCTTGGAGGGCGTGTAGTTACACTGCCCGAATAGTTGGGGTCGCTGTCAGAGCAAGCTGTTTCTCCAGTCCTTGAGCCCAAGTTTTTCCCGACCGGCGGAGGATTCCTGGGACGCGGAGAAAGGGATCTACACGCTGACCCTGAAGCAGAAGGTCCCAGACACACCCGGCCAGACGGACAAGAAGCCCATGCACATCCCGGTGAAGGCCTGGGATCCAGGGCCCTCTCTTTTTTTTGGCTCTGGGGTCGGTGTTTCGATTCTTACGCGCATCCTAACCCCGAAAAAGGTGCAAGCCCTCGAGCGAAAGAGAGCGAGAGAGAGATAAGGGTGATGCGTGATGATGATGAGGCAGCTGCGTAGAACCCAGACGCCCGAAACCCCCCTGAGATCCCGGAAGCTTCAGCCAAACCCCAAAGCCCCGAAAACCCCAACAGCCCCTAGTATTTCAGTAACCCCTAAACCCTAAACCCTAAAACCCTAAACCGTGAGG